AATAAACAAATCGCATAGTTTTTCGCAACGTATTTTCTACAAAATGACAAACGGAAACCACAAACCAATACTTGAGGAATCCAACAAACAATTTTGGTTGTTCAGTTAAACAAAATAAAGAAGGTTCATTGTGGCCTGTGAAAAAAAAAGGATATCTGTAAAATAACGATGAAGAAGTTTTAGTAGCGACAGATGAACTTCAAGTGATGGAATAGATTTCTAAAAGAAAAAATTCCTAAGATATATTGTTGCCACATAACTAGCAGATTCTATTACAAATGTTCGTTATTTAAGATCAATTTATTAGTCTTCTTTCCATTTTCCTTACTTATTATTTATATTTCTTTTTTTTTACTTGAATTTCTTCTACGCTTAAACTAAAGTCTTCTAAGTCAACGATGGAGTCTACATCTTTACCGGCTAATATTAATCTCGCGATGCCTAAGTTTATTTGCAGATTAGTGAAAAGAAAAACACAGCATAACTTTCTCAAAAAAGTTTTTAAGAGTGAAAAACAGTATAGTTTTCAACAAAAAGTTTCAAATAACATATTGAAAAATTTTGCACATTTATTTATCGAGTAGGTTTAGTAACACTTACTAACCAAACTAAAAAAAAATGCGCTTAAATTTTTCTGTTAAAGAAAAAAAGAACTTAAAATTAAGCATTTTTGTTAACAGTTATTGCGTCATCAAATGGTGGTAAAAAATGAACCTAAACCGAGAAAAAAAAAAAAACGAAAATGAATCACTAATGTGAACGATTTGATGACAATAGATAACTGCTGTCAAATGACGCATTTCTGTTCTAAATTCTTCTTTCAGTTTACGTAAACGGTAATCGAACCTTGACGACATTGAAGCAATACACGCTTTTTGTCTCCTGCTTTATCACTTCCTTAAGATCCAACTCCAAATACTTTTTTCTGATTGATTTAAGACAAGACAAGATAATAAAAAACAAAAAGAAGAGAAATAAAGTTTTGAAAAAAAAAAGTGTTGAAGGTTTTGAATATTGGTTGTCATAGTTGACAAGAACAAAAAAAAAAAAA